CTCCTTTCTGGTTATCACGAACAGTAATTGTCAACTATCTATATCATGCATCGAGGTTTATATTGATATCCCCAACTCATATGATTAAATTTTGTCAGCTAATATGATAAAAATGACCCATTCTGAAGATAAAAGGTTGAAGATAAGGAAGATTATTTTATGTGAATCTCAATTAAAATCAATACATTGTTTTTGCAGAAGACTGTCCTGGAGAAGAAGAATGGTGGTGTAAAAAATACTACACTGCTGCCGACTGTCCTAAATATTCCAACTTCCCCACTGATTGTAACATCATGTGCGGTGTCTGTCCACCACGTAAGTAGAGTATAATCCTCGATATAATATGTGAATTACTCACTAACATGTGCCATTTTTTACTTAAATATGATATTATGAATAACTCTTCATATTTCTGAATTTCTCGTTGATATATTATATTTCAGAATTACTTACTAAAATATATTGGTAAATAAATCATTGAAATTACACATTTGTGAATTACTCACTAAAATATTATTTTTGTGAATTTGCTCACTGAAATATATTTGTAATTTTCTTTTTAAGATATAATACTCACTGAACTACTCACTGAAATATTATATTATTTTGTGAGTCACTCACTGAAAATGACAGTCCAATTAAAATTAGACCCAACTTTCGTTTCGTTTTTTTTTTTATTAGATTTTATTTTTAGCGCAGCCGCTCCAAAGTAGGGTCTAAAGACCGGACGTTTAAACATTCCTCAAAATAACCTTTTAACCCCATTCTGCTTTAACCAATAAAATTTACGCCCTCTCCATCGTTGGTGTTTTGTGAGAAATTTAAGGGATTTGCTTGGTTAAAGTAAATGTCAGCTGATTAGTTCTAAAGGTTATTTTGAGGAATGTTCAAGAGTAAAAGTTGGGTCTAATTTTAATTAGATGTGATAATGATATCTAATATCCATTCAACAAAAAATTGTTTCCATAATAAACCTTCCTCATACGTTACATATACAGATGTGTCGTCCAAATTTATGTGCAAAGTATTGCATGTGATATTTGTATTTTTTGGTTCTAGCATGTGATGGTAAAGAGTGTCTAAATGGCGGAACATTGAACATAGGTACTTGTGAATGCGCCTGTGATATTCCTTTTACTGGTTCTACTTGTGCTGAAAGTAAGTTTTCTCTGACTCAATTCCTTAAATTCTCTCTGTATTCTAAGGATTGTTTCATCATTTCCTCTGACCTTGGGTGAGATCAGGAATACTGGTGATTTTAAACATCAATTTCAAATGTTTTGGACTGTCATAGTTCTTGAAACTATTAGAATCCATTAGTGCTGGCCATTCCTCTCTTTCTTATTCTCAAGGATATTAAGATGAGTTTCAACCAAGATTTGCTGCTTATTTTTCATATGAACCAACCGATATCAAAGCTAGATACATCTGTAAATCATGGGTGCTCACTACTAATTCGAACAACGAATTGAATATTATAGGCAAATCAATCAACGTTTACATTTTTATAAAAGGTGTTTCCACTGTCGTCCTTGAATATCTGTATTTAACGAGATGTTTCATACATTTTATTAGCTTTGTCTTATTTTCAGAGGACTGTAGTGTTGGTCAAGAACCGTGGTGTGCTAGTCAAAATCAGGCAGATTGTATCAAATTTAGTAACTTCCCATCTGATTGTAATATTCTGTGTGGTGTATGTCCCTAAGGTACTTATTTATTTATTTAGATTAATTTAATTTGGAAGAGAAATAATTTCATCTGATATATATTTGTGGATGGAAAAGTTACTAGACACCGAATAAGATGGTCGTTAGATAAGCCTAATTGACGAATAGAAGTAGGACGTAACTCTGTTTTATTCCATTTCGTTCCATATTTCTTTCATCATTGTTGGCTCATATATTTTCAGATATGCAGATATTTTTAACGGAATTGGAAAAAGTCGTTAAAAAATATCCCATTGGAACAAAATAAATAAACATATCANAAACGACTTTTTCTTGATTTATACTAGTATGCCTTATGGGGGTGA